TAGGGAGTTTATTTTACAAGTGGAAGTTATTGTAAGATTTTATGAGAATAAATTAGTTGTTAAACAGATAGGTAATTATTTTGGGTTTTTATAAGTAATGGACTTAGAGATTTTAAGGAATTAATTGACTAGGTAAAGGATAGTTATTAGGAATGATTCGGATGTAGTAAAATGAGTTGAATTAGAATTTTGAGAAATAGTATGAATAGGGCGTTTCTTATTTAGTAGGGATATTTCAGTGGTCCGTAAAATAACAATATAGAACGGATGTGAAGTATTGACTTTATAGAATTGAAGAAGGATGTAAAGTATTGAAAGATATTTGGCTGATATTTTTGAGTTTTATGTGAAATAAAATATAATTTAGTACACCTCCTTAGTTTGTTTCTCTCTCTTGCAAGTAGACCCTCTTCCACAGATTTTAGATAGCAAGCTCCAAGTATATAAACACCATCAATATACCGCTCGCCATTTACCATCTAACTAAATTACATAGAGTACTTGGGGCGAAATTGCTACAATACTAATATTTAAAATTGGCGGCCCGGTTGTACAATTTGTACAAATAATGGTTCAACACAAGTTCTGTTGAACTGGTTCACAGTTTCGAGTGTTGTACCACTGCAGGTTGACTCTATTCGATTTCTGAATACCTAGGGGGCTCGGGCTTGAGGGTGTGCAACATTCTTCCCACAGTTCCCACTCAAGAACCATTTTCAATTTATAAATACCGAATATACCGAATATCAACCAGCAAAAAAAAAATATATATTCAAAATCCAGTGTTGCCAATCTGATTTTTTGAAATTACACGATATGCTGGTCAAATTACACGTTTTTACACGCTCTCAGCCTCACAATCACACGATTTTTACACACGACTTTGGTACCTGTTTTGCAAAATTGGGAATAATGATTTTGAGAAATGGTTCAAATCTAAGGGTTAATGCTCCTGATCATAGCTTAAAGCTTCTTAACCAAAAATAAAGATGTGGCAACGACAGAAACGCGATCCCAAAGTAATCAAATTACTAATTATTTTACTTTGGTTTCTGGAGAAGTTGGAGAACTGGATACTTTTGGACCTCAGTTTCCTGGAAGGATAATACACACTACTACTACAGGATAGCCTATCCTCATATGGCCTGTGTAGTTCAAATCTCGAGCTCCTACCATAGCAAAACACCAGTGATGACGTAGGCATCGTATCGTTTCTCGTCTTGACGAGGTTCCCAAGGTTTTCTGGTAATGGGTAACTTGATGACGAATCTGGGGTGCCTTATGGACATTTGCATTATGTTAGGGCACCCCAGATGACGTCATAGAGTTAACCAGGCAACCCATTTCCATAAACGAGGACGATAAGCAATCCTAAGTAGTGTGCCGTTTTCTCGCGTCCACTTTTTTGACATTGGGTCAAACCTGTTTTGAAAAAAGTGGATGCGAGAAAACGACTTTGGTTTTGAGCCTAGCCATAAGGGTAGTCACTTGACAGATCATTTTACAAACAAAAAATAATGGTGGGGAATGCAAGGAGCCATTGGAAGAGGAAAAGTCAAGTCTTATCTATGTCACAATGGGGGGGTGGCTTTAGATTTGAAAGCCGTGAAACAGAACAAAAATAAAGAGAATGTCAAAATTTTCAAATTACACGCAAAATACACGCTTTTTGTGTATGTTCGAAAAATACACACAAGCCAATCAAAATACACGCAAATCGTGTAATTACACGCTAATTGGCAACACTGTCAAAATCCCTCATCAAAAAACAAACAACCTTAAAACAAAACCTACGAAAGTGAGGTTAGAAAATCGAAAACCCCAACGTGAATCAATAGGCCTGTTCGCACAGCAATCACAAACCAGTCAGAGCGAATTTCATTGGTTGAAAACAATCAGAAACAGTCAGAAACCTAGTTTCAACCAATAAGATTCACTCTGACTGGTTTGTGATTTCTCTGCGAACAGACCTAATATCATCAAATTAGGCAATCCAAACGTGACATTCAAGATGACGTGGCGGCCACACATGACACAAAAACATATCTAGTTTCTGCCCGACTTAGGGCGGGTATTATAAAACTACTTTGAAAGTTAACTTAAAGTTAACTCTTAAAGTAGTTTTATAATACCCGCCCTTAATAGTTTATGTACCCAGTCAACAAATATTTTATTAAATAATCAAAATCAGAGTTGCAAGAAAAACTCTAAGCAAAATAATTTAAAATACGCATAAAAACATATTCACAACAGACTAGCATGGCCTCCACGCCATATTGAATTTTCAAATCGTGCAAATGGTGTAAGGCGTTTGTTATCGCAGTGTAGGTTGCCCAATCTTGCACTACCTACACCTGCTCAAGAGGAGGTGTAACAGGTGCAGAATGGGGAGGGGGCAATGGTATTTAGAAACTACTTCAATGAAACTGTGTTCAGGGTTGAAAGATAGGGAATCTCCATCTTCCTCTATAATTTCCGACATTAAAACCTTGTAAATTTTGTTGTTTTCATTAATAATACACATTTTTTTCTCAATTCCGCTCCTATCGCTGCACGAACTGCACTAACGCGTTTGGTGGTTTTCCTTTAACATGGTGCAGGTGCACATCAGCTACACCTACTAATTGCACCAGCAGTCTGCACTGACCTATCCTACACGTAAATAACAACAAACAGACCTATATAGTCAAAAACGACAACCTGAGAAATTCTATAAAAGCAAAACCGAATTTTCGAGACGAACTACTTCCATGATTTCATGAACACAAACGTTTTCGCAAGAAACTCATGACGTCATATTGAACGTAGTTCGCTGGAAGCATGAACCAAGCTTTTAGCCAGCGTTCATACTCATGACGTCATAAGACGAACTATGGTCCATCCTTGAATGAACTATACATTCGTCGCGAAAATTCGGTTCAACTCTTGAAAACGAAATTAGGCAAAATACACCCTCGGACATTTTGGTGTTTTTTTGAAAAACTAATGAGATGAAAATCTTGGAACTTAATTCTGGGGTGAAAAGAGAAAGAAAAGGAGTTCGCATTCACATCAGATGCGGCCATTGAAATTGGCTAGCTTTCAAATGTTTTATGTAGAAAAGGCTGTTGGCAACACAAACATTGTTACTAAATTTTTGACTTGGGGAAAACAGATTTTATTCTCACTTGCGCAAAACTCACTCTTTTTTGACATTGGAGGCATTCATCAGGACGTAGCCCTTCTCATGCCCTACTGTAGCAATCTTAGATTAGGATAGCACTCATCAATTTTCTGATGAACGCTTGTTTCGTCAAATTGATCAGTCCGCATCAAGGATAATACACACTACCTTAGAGCCACACTACTCATTGAACACTACTACACAAGATTGCTTATCGGCCTCGATCGTTTTTGGGAATCGCAGCCATATTGTGTAACACCATTGACAACGTCATCAACTACGTCGTCAACTGTTTGCGCCAGCGGTCGTAGTTTAGAATATACATTTATGATGAAAACTATCATTTAATTTTGATTAACATAATAGGCAAAGAGGAAGATTCAAACGAGCTGTTTAGAATGTTAAATTGAATTTTCGCCACGAACTACTTCCATGATATCATGAACACAAATGCTTTCGTGAGAAACTCATGAAAACAGAGGTGTTTTCTCGCGTCTCAAATTTTTGACACCTTTTCCAAAACTGGTTTAAACCAGTTTCATAATGACGTCATAGCTTCTCGGCGCGTGAAAATGGTTCAAAAACGTGGATTGGATTGTATTTCGAAGCGGTTCGAACCAATTTTGCGTGACGTCATGGGTTCATCGCGAGAATAACCTATCCTCATATAAGGCCTTTGTAGAACAAATTTGAAGACCCCAACCACGCCAAATCACTAGTTGTGACGCAGGCAGCATGACGTTTCCCGCCTTGACGTAGTCTATTTGCACCACAGGTTATGATTCCGCGGGCTTTGCTTTATGCATACTTGGTTTTGTTTTACTACATTAATTAACATTCTAATAGCTAAATGTAATTTAGGGAATACTTTTCGTTAAGGCTAAGACTCCCCTGAAATAGTTGGTGGGAACGGCCATAAAACAACTATTTTTTAGATCTAGTTGGTATCTTCCTCTTTGCCTATTATGTTAATCAAGATTGAATTATATTTTTCATCATAAATTTAAATTCCAAACTACGACCGCTGGCGCGAATTGCTGACGTCGCTGACGACTTAGTTAATGACATCGGCAAAGGTGATACACTAATATGGCGGCGATTACCAAAAACGTAGCCAATGAGCAATTATAATATAGTAGTGTGTATTGGTGTGCATTATCCTTGGTGTGTATTATCCTTGAGACCGTATCGCTGGAGCGGACGCCATTTTGTTCCATCATAATTTGATCGCCACAGTATCGCTACGTTCTGATGAACGCTACTACTGAGTGCATAACAAATGGAAGTCACTGTACAAATGGAAAACCCCATATGAATACGGGCTTAAATTGAAACTCTGATTAGTCACGTGCCTGTCAAGATTTCGGAGTAAATATACGAAAGAGATGACAAAAACGAACACGGCCAGAATAAAAAAAAATGATCCACTCATAAAAGCCGCTTTCCAGCTGACGCTTTTGAGCACGCAATCGAGCTTTTGCCCGCGCAAATGCTTCAAGCGCATGTTCGTGTTCCAGCCGTACTGCGCTTCGAGAGCTGCTAACTTTTGCGTCAAACACAGAACACTGTGCTGCACCGTGCTTGAAGCACACAGCTGGAAAATGGCTTACGAATACGCTCACAAATCACGTGCCTGTCAAAATTTAGGAGCAAATCAACGAAAAAGATGACAAACACGAACACGGCTTCTCTATAAGGAAAATCATTCATCATCGCTCATTTTTTTTTTGTTTGATTTAATAAAAACATGCAATGAGTGCACCTTTGTTCACTCAAATAGAAATCGCTACGAATCCATTGTTCGTGGCTGCCTTACATCTGACACTGACACAAGTTTGACGTTTGGCAGCTGGCTCACCTCCTTTATTATTTATGTTTTTTTGCCTTTTCATATTTATTTATTAACTAAATAATTATTAATAATTGGTTTACATAACTATTGTAATTTAACCAAAGCAGTCCGGTGAATATGTGGAAATGCCATAAGTGCCAGAAGCCGGTTTATTTCGGTGAGTAATAACAGTTGAATACATTAAAGCCATTCTACTTTTTGTATTTATTTTAATTGTTATTGTCTTTGTTTGTGTAATGTGTGTAAATTATATGGTAAATTATAAGAAATAATACAATAATGTATACATTTAATTATAGAGATTCATCTCAAAGACTACACTTTTCAAAATAAATATAGTTGACCCCAAACTAACTTTGGAGTTTTTTGAAATTTCACAATATAAAAAAGAAAAAATTGGTTGGATAAAGCACATAATTTAACAAAAAATCATTTTCAAAAATACCTACCATTCAAAAACCCCTCTAAATCAAGCCCTAAACAGCAGTTCAATGCACCAAATCATACATTACAAATTTGGAAATAATTGCTTTTTAATCACTTATTTTTTGTTTCACTGTCACATTATAAATACAATCAATTCGGATGTGGTTGCCTTTTAAACCAATCCAAAACTCTATTTTTAGGATTAAATTTGCTTAAACTACGGTAATAAAAATATGCTAATAAATTTTTATAAATTCTTCTGTTCTCAAACAATCATGTATCCATTTCCAGCTGAAAGAAAACACTCCCTGGGCTACAACTGGCATCCGGAATGCTTGCGTTGTGAGGAATGTGGCAAAAGACTTAACCCAGGACAACATGCCGAGCACAAAGGAGTACCTTATTGTCACGTACCTTGTTATGGAGCTTTATTTGGTCCTCAGTTATTCGGTCACGGAACCAGAGTAGAATCTCACACAAGTTTTGGGAAAAAGGAGTCTCCCAAATTGAGCAACAAACCTTCTTTACCACGATCCGCATTGGAATCAAAGATTAAAGTATGAAATGAGATTTAAAAAAAAATAAATATATATTAATGCTAATTTTTCTTTAGGTATACAATCAATTCTTTGAAGGAAAAAGTGGTGAAATTCGTTCTAGAGAAGTTAACGGACGTTTTGTGCTTGAAGGTTCTCTACGTATTCACTGGGGTGTACAGGGGGTGATCCATTTGAAAGAAAACGACGATCAAAGGACTGTTGTAACTGTAAGAAAACGAAATTCTTGCAGGGTCAGCAGCAGCCCTGAATACGACACTGACGAGGATATACAAAATATATCCAGAGACACCAGTTTCAATGACATATCTACTTGTTCCACTACTAGTACTGTAGAGCTGAGCAAATCAGATACAGGTATTGAAAGTGGTTCAGATTCTATTGATTCAAGCTTATCAGATAGCGATCCAAACTCTCCAAAAAATGCAATGCCAAAAAGTGTAACATTACCATCGAAATTGGATATCAAAAATATGGAATGGGATGAATTGGATGATCTACTTCAAGTTGAACGAAAAGTCGATGGAAATGATAAATTGTATCAAACCATGCCTTTGCCTTTACCATCACAAATTAGTACTGACAGTGATTCAGCTAGTTTGTCTGATAATACAAAAATTGCCTCTTCTGCACAGACAATTACAGAGGATTCAGGAACTTTAAAGGCATCTTTAGATAATGGTATTGTGACTGATAGTAGCTTGAGTGAGGATCGAATACCTCTCTTGACCCGGTCTTTTAGTAAAGATGACACTTGGATTTTGAATAGTAATAATTTAAATAGGTGAGAATGTTTTATTATTAATAATTTAGGTAGAAAATTTGCTAAGTCTTCACTATGATTTCTGAATTTTTGAATAAGCTGTCCAAGCAGTTTTCAAGGAAATCGAGTATATTTTAGGTCTATGTCAGGACCAGATTGTCTAGAAAAACCTAGATTAGTATCTGTATCTAACTCTTTTCAGGAAATCCTGATTAGGAGTTGTTACTTTTGAAGTTTTCCTATAATTTATCCCAAGTCCTTCATAATAAATTCTAGATATTTGAAAAAGCTGTTCTAAGCAGTTTTTAAGTAAATCAAGTATACTTATTTCAGGTCTATGTCAGGACCGGATTGTTTAGAAAGACTAAGAAGAGACAGTCAATCGCCAGAATTTGATAGATTGAGCATCACAAGTGCTGAAATTACAACACAATCTGAACAAAACAATGAAGTGGTACTTAGGAGGCCCCAAAAAAGCGGTTCCACAGCTATAAGAAGAAGGCCAGGCAAGCGATTATCAAGAAGCAAGGTTGATTTTGTAGTTTTCAATAATATTTGATGCAATTATATTTAATTTTGTTTCAGGTGAAAAGACGATGTTCAATCAATGGACATTTTTATGATAGGGAAACAAGTTTTTTCACACCTCCTCATGGCAGTCAAATGAGTGTTTGGGTGACATCCATGGTCAATACCCAAGACGTTATAAAATTGTTGCTAGAGAAATACAAAGTTGAGAGCGACTCGAATCATTTTGCTCTGTTCATTATCAGAGATAATGGAGGTAAAAAAATGATTCACCATTTTATATAGTAATAACATTTATTTTTAATTATTATTATAGAACAAAGACGTTTAAAAGATGACGAATATCCACTTCTAGCCAGAGTCCTATTAGGTCCTCACGAAGACGTATCAAAATTGTTTCTTATGGATAGTTATAATACCCAGGAAGTTAGTAGTGAAGTAGCGCAATTTTTGAATCTTTCTCTTGTTGAATGCAGAGCCATTCTGCACCAGTATTATTCGCAAGAGGAAAAGGAGGTGGCAAAAATCAAAGAAAAGTATGTTTGAGATGAGATGTTTGCGGAAATAATTTGTTTCAATGTATTGTGATTTTTAGGTACTCTGAAATGAAACAGTGGATTAATCAAAGGTTGCAGCTACACTAGGATTAAATATAGTAAATGTTTTAATTAATTAATTAATTTCACATAAAGACTGGAAAAATATTATCACCATCACATTATTCATAAACCAATAAAGTTTGGTGGTTTGAATAATTCTTAATGCTTGTTTTATAGCCCAAAATAATATATTAGTTGCAATAATAATTATCATTATATTAACAATTTTAGGTAATTTTTAATATGGTTGTTGCTTTTTTTAAGGTTTTTATTGCATTTTTATTTACCTACCTTTATATTTTATATGTTACTAACATTTTTTAAAAAAAATAAATACAGAAATAGTATTTGTGTCTTTTTTTTTTCATTCCCCTTTTGGGAGACCTGTAGGATCAGTTAATATTGGGAATTAAAAAATCAGCCAAATGAAACTCATAATTTCTTTCTAAAGCAATTTCTTTAAAAAATATATTTACATCTTAAAATTACCTCCTTAATTACTATGTATAACGCTTAGTTAAATATTTCATAAAATATCTACAAACCTAAAGGGAAGACAACACAGTAGAAAATTATAGGAAACATCTTCAGATAAGAGCATGCTTAATGAACAAGATAGGTAATTTAAAAGAGCAACGATCTCAACTATAAAATTATGACCGTTGAATTCAAAAATTTACATTTATTACTGTTTAGGCAGAAATCTTTTTGTCTTGTAGAAACAAAAACAAATTTCTTCAGATTTTCACCTGAGACCACAAAATTATAACTAAACTTACTGTCAAAAATAATGTCAAAGTTAAAAATTCAAATAAAACAATGTAAAAAGTGCATTATTTTTGTCAATAAATTATTATCCTCCCAAAAACAATTAAAAATTGCAACAAAAATCCTAGTCAGCCCTTTGTCTTTTTTCTACTCCATCATTCGATTCCACTAGAGCCTTCCTTTTAGCTGCCTTCTTTTCTTGCATGGTCTTTTTAAGACCTTTCAGTTTGCGCGTCTGGATTTTGTTGATTTCTTGTTTACCAATATGAATACGTCCGTGTGTTGTACCCAAAGCATCTGTACTGATGTTCTTCTTCTTGCCGACTTTAAGTTCCTTTGGTTTCTTACAAGCGTCTTTCATTAGGTCAGGCGATGGTAGTTTTGTTCGTCTGAGAGTGAAATCTATTCTGGGACCTATAAAAAATACAGGAGTCAAACGAATGGGAAAACACAAAAGTACAATAATGGAATTTTTTATTGAAAATGCAGTGAGATTATTTGCTATAATAATAATCAAATTTTATGCCAAATTGAGTCCAGTTAATGAGGGGTTATTTAGAACGAGATATTCTGTGTACACCCTGCAGGAGTTATCCAAAACTCTTCAAGGAAATCTTGGAAGGATTCGGAAAATCTGGGGAGCAGGGTTGTCAAAAATCCAGGTTTTTGGAAAGGAACCCGCGCTAATCTTATGGAAAATGGCTTTTGGTGAAATTTGGATATGTTGTGCTCCTGGACATTCTTTACAAAAATTATCATTGGCACAAAAAAATCAAACAAGCGATATTCGAGTTATATTAAGTTTGAAAGATATCAGATGCAATATACTTCAATTTGTTGTCACTTTATAAAAATGTAGAAATGACACTCATGAACAGTTTGCAAACATATCTGTTGCAAACTGTCAGAAATAATCGCCCAGATAAGGTACCGATTTATCTTGGAACAACGGTATTGAAAACATATATGGGCGATGCTTTCTAACAGGTTGCAAACTGTCAGAGACTCATGTGAGAATTGACCTATTGACGGTGCATAATTGCACATAATTAAAAGCAGTAATTTCCGCGCTCTGCGCTATCTTATTGAACTTATTACAGGCATACAGACGTCATTTGATAAAACCGAGGATAAAACCCGAAATTATTTTAGCTCTCAACGGGTAGCGATTTTACATAGTATACCATGTAGAGAGCATCGAGTCTATAAGCCCCCCCCCCAAGCTCAGTCCAGCTTTGGTTCAGTATTAAAGGGGTTGTGACCCTAAAAAACGACTTAAGGTACTTAAACCAAGAAAAAAAATCTAAGATCTCTTGTGAAAATCGCATTCCTATATACAAAATAGTCTCCGAGAAAATTCCTTGTGAAGATAAATTGTGCAGGAAAGAATTGTGATATCATAACCGCCAAAATCGCAGTATTCTGTTCGTTCAGTCGTCAGGGAACCGTACCCTATACTTTGAGTGATTGCAATACGGTATAGAATGTAATCAGCAGTGCGCAAAATGGGGTATAGTACGTAATCGCGAAAAAGGCTCGCATGCGGGATCACTATTCCAACCCTATAACAAACCCTGATGTTTTTTATATTTGGGCATTCAGACTATTTTTCAAATAACTGTCACGTCGGATAGTGGCTTTAGTTAATTTTTAAATTTTGATGTCAATTTGTGCATTGCATCCCTTTACCCTGTTCCACATAATAGAACTCTCCAGTTTGTATACAGGGTTGTCAGTATGTATGGAAAAAAAATTACAATATTTCCTACCTGTGAGTTTTTGGAAATGCCCGATTCAGTGGTGCTATTTGCAATGTTGCCAAGTTTACCGTTTCTAAGATGTCGTATGTAACTTGATTTTTTTAAATGGATGCCCCTCTTTATTTTTATTGTAATTAATTCAGCGTCCCAACATTACTAAAACCCCTAAATGCCAAAACTCCATTTTACTTGGTCTTTGAAATATGGCAACACAGATTTTTTGTTGAAATGTATGGAAACAGTTTCGTATTTCAGAAAAAACTTTAGCAAAATGTACAATATTCCCTACCTGGGGGTTTTTAGAAATTCTCGATTCAAGGGTGGTATTTGCAATATGACCAAGTTTACCGTTTCTAAGATGCCGTATGTAAATGCCTGTAGGGGCATCCATTTAAAAAAAAAAATCAAGTTACATACGGCATCTTATAAACGGTAAACTGGCAACATTGCAAATACCACCATTGAATCGGGCATTTCCAAAAACCCCCATGTACGGAATATTGTACATTTTGCGAAAGTCTTTTCTGGAATACGAGACTGTTTCCATGCATTTTATCAAAAAATCTGTGTTGCCATATTTCATCAGCCAAGTAAAATTGAGTTTTGGCATTTAGGGGTTTTAGTAATGTTGGGACGCTGAATTAATTACAATAAAAATAAAGAGGGGCATCCATTTAAAAAAATCAAGTTACACATTTAAGAAACGGTAAACTTGACAACATTGCAAATACCACCATTGAATCGGGCATTCCCAAAAACCACCAGATAGGAAATATTGTAATTTTTTTTCAAGCCGGTTCTGAAATATCAGACTGTTTCCATACATAACGACAACCCTATATGTATCGGCACTAAGCTTTTCCATAAAACTCTTAACTTCTGCAAAATCCTCGGCAAAATCACTCCCCATAATTTGCATCCAATTAGAACCCTATATTCTGGACAACTTTTAAATTCCAAAATTTTGTATTTCTACCTCAGGTTGTAATTTTTTTAATTAAATCTCTAACGTACTTGGCTCACCCATCTTGCTTTGTTTTCACTCTGCAACACTCGCGAAGTGCGAAGTATTTGAAAATGATCGATTGTATAAGAATCGTTGGTTCTAGAATCCCTGGATACTTTCGGCGTTGTCACGTTTCTGAGAACCTGAGTACAAACTATACCGCATTTGACGCGCAGTCTAACTACATTCTATACCGCATTACAGACATTTTCAATACTGAACCAAAGCTGGACTAGGCTTGGAGGCGGAGCTTATATACTCGATGCTTTCTGCATGGTATACTTACCCACTATGTAAAATCACCAACACAACGGGTATAGGTATACCTATATACTACTTCACATGCAAGACCGTATGTCTCTGACCAACATAACAATTTGAAAGAAACATAGATGGTATTAGGCAGTGGATTCAAGAGGGCGACATTTGCATAGAAGACCGAGGATATGTGTGTTCTAACTGTGCACTTGTGCTGATATTCTACAAAATCCCTGAAAAATTAGGGAGACCCAGCGAAATCTTGAGAGATTAGAGGAAATCTTAGGGAGATCCCTGGTAATCTGGGATATGTAAGGGATATCTTGTCCATGAAAATATCTCTTGTACCTACAATTATGTTGTATTAACCCTTTGGCAGTAAACATTGTTCCTAAAAATTATAGGGAGTGAGATGTTGGCAAGCTTACGTTTTTGCCTAAGTTGGGGAAGCTGTCAACAATCTTGCAGCCACAGGGATGTCCTGTCTTCCTGCAACATTTGACAATGATCCAAAAATTTGAAGAAGTAAATTGGGGCCATTACTGTTTCTTATATATATTAATGATATTGTTAAGTGTATAACAAGCTGCCAGATCCATCTATTTGCAGATGACACTTTAATTTACTTCTGTTCTAGAGATTTGAAATTGGTGACTGATGTTATTAATGGAGACTTGGAGAATGTATTATTGTGGTGTAATGGAAATTTACTAAATTTAAACGCATCAAAAACAAAGTTTATGCTTATTGCTAATAATCAGCAATATAATATGGCAACTCCATTTAAAATTGCCATCGGAAGTGAAGATATTGAGATGGTTGAAGAGATCAAGTATTTGGGCATTATAATTGACAGAAGGCTTCAATTTAGGGAACACAATAATTATATTACTAACAAAATAGCAAAAAAACACGGGTGTCCTGACTAGAGTAGCACCTTTTCTATCAAAGTGGACTCGCATCATGGTGTATAATACCATTATTCTACCACATCTTACATACGCATCATCGGTGCTGTACATGATGAACAAAACCGGAAAAGATAGGCTGCAAAAGTTACAAAACAAAGTGATGCGAGTAATACTTTATTGTCCCAAAGACAAGGCGGTTAGATCTATGTTACTGTCTCTAAACTGGTTATCCATCGAGAATTTTTTAAATTATCAAGCCATGACATTCATTTATAGAATAAAGAGTTCTGTAATGCCAATGTACAGGGTGAAAAAAATTATCCCATAAATATGGCCAAGAGAAAATACTGGAAATATATTTCAGCTTTCTAAAGTGACCGTAAGGGAGCGTAACCTAACTGTCAAAGTACAAAAATGGTTTTTTTTAAAATTTCAAATGGAAACGTATCTAAAAAATGCTAGCAATAGATTTTTGATGAAATTTCACACAATTTTGATTCATGACTTTTTACCATAACTTATCGGATAAGATAGTTATGAGCTGTCAAATATTGCAACACAAGAAAGCGGATAACTTCAAAACGACTCAACAAATCTGGTCGATCTTAGGTTCATTGGAAAGACAAGAGTCTGTTCTTTAACTTTGTTGTGAAAAATTCAAATTCTGGTTAGTAGGACTGACGCTATGCGTCAATATTTGAAAACATTTGAATGTTTCCAATTTTTCTTGAAATTTTCAAATGGAACGGTATATTTAATGCCCGTATTACATCTGTGTATTTTTCCGTGTATTTATTCATGTAGTTCAGGGTGACAACCGAAAATCTTCAAACGCAACATAAATCAGCATTATGAAAAACAAAATAATGTTGGCACCCTGAACTACATGAATAAATACACGGAAAAATACACAGATGTAATACGGGCATAAGATATGTTAAATCGATTTTTGAGGATGTTTTACATAGTGTTTCTTTATTATACCTTCCTACAAACGAATTCCAGAGAGTGTTAAAATTAATTTTATTAAAAATAATCAGTATTTATGAAAAAGCCCCAGTAAATTGAGCAAATACCAGTTAAATATGTCAGGCTGACACATTTTCGAAACTTCAAACGCTATTTTCTAAAGTCAAATGCATTTCCCAAATGGAGAAGCACAGGACATCCTTGAGATTCTGCATGAATGTAATGAAAATGCAGCAATCGCCGCCACTAAAATCTAATTATTTTGAAAAATGGACAATGCTTATAAAAAAAATAGACTGGTTTTGGATTATCTCTGTTAGTATTTACAGAAAGAGCAGAATGAAAAATGAATAAATCCACAGTACGCGAGTGCCAAATTTTATAATACTGTAGTTACTATTATAATTTCCTGATGACAATCAACTGTCAGAAAAGCAAAGTCATTATTTACGAGGGCTTTTTCATAAATATTGATTATTTTTGATAAAATTAAATTTAACACTCTCTGGA